TGAAAACAGAGTGAGCCAGACCGTGAGGTGCCCCCAGGCACATACAGTCAGCTGATGAACGACAGAGGAGCACCCAAAGTCAGTGCAGAACCCCTCCATACAAACTTCCATACAAAACACAATTCATTAATAAACATATGCATTGATAAACCCGCCTTCAAAAGGGGAAACTTTTGCTCTGTGAAAGACAGTAGCAAGCAAATGAGCAGAAGACCCTGGATGGACTGGAAGAAGGTGTTTGAAAAGCAGGAACTACCCAGGACTCACGTCTGCGTACGTGAGGGTACGAGTTGAATACATAAAGCACTTCCGAGCCCAACGGTAAAGAAGAGCCTAGTAAGAAACACGGACAAAAGACCTCAGCAGGCACCTCATCAAGGAGACGTGCCAATGGCAAGTAAGTGCACGAAAAGATGCTCCGTGTCATCAGTCAAAAGGAAACGAGGAAGAAACCCAGCGGAAGGGCCAGTAAGTACCCATCAGAATGGCTCAAATTTTTGAAAGCTAACAGTATCGAGTGCTGGCAATCTTAGGGCCAAGAACCACAGCTGGTTGGAATGCAAGACGGTGTAGCTGGGCACTTTGTTACCAAGTCAAACATGTGCTTACCATACGACCCAGATACTTTCTCAAGTTAAATAAAAATCTACATTCACACAGAAATCTGTAAGACAAATACATGCCTACAGCGGCTTTGTCATTGCCAAAAACTGGAAGTGATCCAGATGTCCCTCAACTGGCCAAAGGATGAGCAGACTGTGATCCATGGACTCAGCAAAACAAGGCTCGTGACACGCACAAAACCAGCACGAATCTCGGTGCCCTCGGAAGTGACAGAAGCCGGACTCAAAGGCTACCTGCTGTAGGCCTCCACTGGTGGCACATTCTGGAAGATGCTGAGCTGCACACTTCAGCGGTTGCCAGGGGATAGGGGGGCGGGACGGTCTGGCCAGCAAGGGCAGGAGGGAGCGGATGGCACCTCAACAGATCTGGATCTCGGGGACGGTGGCAGGCAGACAACTGGACACCTCCGTCAGAACCCACGCAGTTGCATACCACAGAGCACACGTTCAGGGTATTGAAATTCAAAGAAGAACTTTAACGGGAGAGGGGAGTGGTCCCGGTTCTCTTCCCAGATGTGTCTGCTCGTTCCAAAATTGACACACAATGTAACTTCCATCTTTACTAAAGACCAAAGCCTTAGCCCAGACCCTCGTGTGACCCCACGGAGCCAGTGACCAGGGAAGGCGCCAGGCCATCAGGAGGGAAGGAGCACCCAGCTCGGCAGGGAGGTGTCCATATCCGCCAATTAGCACAAGAACAACTGTAGAGAAGCTGATGTTGACGCGGAGTTGGGAAAACAGCACTGTTCACGCGTGTCAGGGGAACCGTAAACTCATTCCATCCTTGGGAGTAAAGTGGTTCTAGAGCTATGAAAACAAGCCACACTCTGACCCCAGCGCGCGCACCCCGACTGCGTGCACGCTCTGTCTTCTTCAAATCATTTCCTGGGCATAAAGGTCTTTTCTGAAGAAAACAAAAAAACTGAAAACCATCAAATACAAAACAATACAAATAAAGTAAAAACTGCCACATCACATGGTTTCATGGCCACAGACACCATAAAAATGCTACTGAGGAGAACACAGAATAGGGTGCGCTGGATGTCACCAAAACAGACACTTTAAAACGGCCAAAATGGTAAATTTTATGCTGTACAGATTTTACACAAAAGATACTAGGAAGAAAAGTCAAACTAAAAATGCACATGTGCCACCCCACCCACATCCACACGCGTGTGCGTGCTGAAGAGGGTCCCAGAGAAACGCAGGTGGGTACGCGGATGGAGGAGGCCGGGCGCTTTCCTTACAGCCTCTAAAGCATCCCTACAAGGACCAACGATTCTACCGCTCCACGAGCTTCTGCAAGATCCCACCATGGAGAAGCTTCGGGCTGTGCTTGGCCAGTGGATAAGGACTACTCTACCCCCTCACGACTGGACCTGAGAACAACGACCTTCTTAAACTGCACTCACCGAGGCCTGAGGGCTGGCGGCTGGGCTTGGCCTGCCCGGACAGCACCCCGAGAGCTGGGCCATCCCCGCTGGTCTGTGCCGACCCAGCGACACCCTCCCGGGGCTTTATCGGGGGCCCCACACACATGCTTCCTGCTTGTCACACATGATGAGAAGTCTCCCTCCCCGGGCTTCCTGTCCACTCAGGCCGGCCTCATGGGGGGGCAGGGGTGCTGCCTGGGACTCTGCCCTCCCCTGGACCACAGGCTCCTGGGGCCCAAGACCCGGGGCTCCGCCACATCCCGAGCCAAAGAGCCCTCCTGCTCCCCTATTACAAACACTCCACGGCAGCTCGCGGGGCAAGCCAGCGTGGCCCGGACGCCCGTGGCTTTCAGGGGCTTTATATTCTGGGGGGCTCAGATCTGTCTGTTACAGAGATAATCCGTAGTCTTGCCGCTGGGCGCATGCTTCTCTCAGCGCCCGCCATCCACTTCAGAGCACTCCTGCGCGGACAGATACTCCGTGGCTGGCGAGGCCTCTCACAAGAATGGAACTATACTCTACGGCCAAGGCTTTTTTTTTTTTTTTTTTTTAATATTTTATGTATTTATTTAAGAGAGAGAGAGAAGAGAGCCCGAGTGGGGAGCAGCAGGCAGAGGGAGAAGCAGACTTCCCGCGGAGCAGGGAGCCCGACGTGGGACTCGATTCCAGGACCCTGGGATCATGACCTGAGCCGAAGGCAGACGCTTTACCGACTGAGCCACCCAGGCGCCCCCACAGCCAAGTCTTGTAACCTGCTTTCCTACTCACCACTGGATTGCCGACGTGGGTAGGCCTACCTAAAGCCGCCCTACCCGCCCCTGAGAAAGTGGCTGTTTGTGGTTGAGTTGTGTCCCCTGAAAGTTCACGTGTTGGGTTCCCAACCTCAGGACCTCAGACTCTGAGCTTATTGGTGACAGTCTTTGCCAACGTAATCAAGTTATAATGAGGTCATTGGGGTGGGCCCTAACGCAATGTGACGCAGCCTCCTGTTAAGGAAGGAGGCCACGTGAGGATGAAGGCAGAGGTCAGGACCAAGGTCCTACGAGCCAGGGAACACCAAAGGCTGACGGCAAACCACCAGACGCTTGAGTGTGGACTCGCAGCCTGCAGGACCCCCTCCCCGCCCATCTGCTCCTACTCTCCCCATTCACTCAGGGGTCCAGACCAAGCCCCAGGAGTTATGCTTGCTGCCTCTTTCCTCACTCCACCAGCAAGCCCTGAACACCCCACCAAAATGAATGGTCCGAGCTGGCCATGTTGCTCCCGCTCCATTAACCCTAGATGCTCGACTAACTGTCTGCAGCCATTGCCACAGGTCCCCTGGGGGAAAATGTCCCTGGTTGAGTACCTCTGCTTGGGTCTCACTCTGCTGCCTCAGCCGTCGAGTGGGTTCCCCGACTCCAGCCACCCCCATCAGGACCACCCCCGAGACACGTCACCTGGAGGGCATCACTTGTGAGCAAACCACGGGAAGTAACTGGGGCCCTGACAGAGTGAGGGTTTGAGACGGGGGAGGATGGACTGTCCCCTGCCTGATTCTCCCAACACGCAGGAAACAGCCCATCCCACAAGTCCCCTGCAGAAGGCCTCTCCTCAACCATGGCCTCAAACGTGACCGAAGGAAAACAGATGAAGGCTACATGACCATCTTCATCCATCCTCTGAAAAAAAACAGCTTTCCAAATTAAAACAGCCCAAGCTGGCTAGTGTGGGCAAACCAACAACCAAACCCCGTGGGGGGAGTGTACAAGGATGCAAACGAGATCACTTCCACCCGGTATTGCCATCGGGAGTTTCAGTAATCCCGCGTCTGAAGACAATGCCACACACAGGAAAAGAGTCTACATGTGAATGTGTTAGCGTGGCATTATTTTTAACGTTAAACAAAGCTGGAAACGACTCAACTATCCAATCGCAAGGGAAACATTGAGAAAATATCAGCATGTCTACTCAACCCAGCAGTGCGCACCCACCTGAGTGAGGTCTGTGAAGAATGCGGAGCAAATGAAAAGTGCACGGAGGAGACCACATACGACTGTGACCCCTTCTATCTCTGAACTTTCCAAACTTTCTTTAAAAGCCGTGCACTCATACTTGAAAATGTTTTTTTAATAGATTGTTTTAAAGGAAAGAAATTCACCCCTTTGGGTTGGAGCTCTGTGTCCACAGGAGGCCCCCACTGAAAGTGAAACACTGATGGGTGGGGACTCAGAGGGACTCAGATCTGAGCCTGACCTGGGGTTCCATTCACCCCTGAGACCAGGACAGGAACAGTGAAGTTGTGAGCAAGGGGCCCAGAAGAGGAGCCTTAGGTGCCGCCCAGGGAGTGTTCAGGGTCGGGAGCCAGAGGGAGGAAGGAAGGAGCCCACCATGGAGGGACAGGTTGCCAAGGGGCTCAGGGACCCCTCCTGCTCTGAGCCTGTCCTCCCACCGATGAACCAGGAAGGGGTGAGGGGCATCATTCACAGAGGAATGAGTTGGGGGGGCCCCCCTCAGAAGAGAGGTGTGGATGGACATGTGCTTCCCCACACTGCACGAGTCTGAGGGGCGTTCTCCTCTGCCTATGCCCACCTCCTCCCAGAGGCGCAGATGACCACCGTGGAATCTGGTCTCAAATGCCCTACATCACATGCCTATCACAGCTATGTTCTTCCATGCCAAACGCCAGTGGCACCTGTAACTACACCCGGTCCCCATCTCTGTCCCCTGAGTTGAAAACTGTCAGCGGGCCCAGAAGCTATCTTCACAGTCAGCTCTTCCCCAAGCTCTGCAAGTGGTAGAGCCCGCACCAGTGGGGGTCTGTGGCCGGGACCAGGAGCCCTGGAACGGGTGAGGCACGGTCAGGCCCGGCGGAGGACTGCTCTCCCTACACTCCCTGCAAGAGCCAGCACGACCCGGGGAACAGGTGTGCCCCAGGGGAAAGCAGGGGGTGGTCGTCACTGACCTTCTCCAGCTTCTCGAAGTGCTCCCGCAGGAACTTCATGGGCCTGTCGGGCTTGGAGATGCACAGGTGCACAATGCAGTCCTTGAGGACCTGCTGAACGCCATGCTTCTGAACGTAGAGCTCACACCCCTTCAGACTCTCGTCCTCCTCCGCCTGGTAGGTCGACGGGGATGCCATGGTGACCCCGCTTCTGGCTGCCTGGTGGGGGAAATGCATATCACGGGTTGCTGGGGAAGGAAGCCTGGGGCGGCACCCCACAGGCCCCCAAAATGTGTCGTTGTAGTCCCATCCTGTGACTGATGGGACAAGGTCTCAGGGTCCATGGTCACAGGCCTTTCCTTCTGAGGGGCTGGATGAGCCGCTAACATGACAGCCGCAAAGCCTTACCTTACAGATCTTTGCGGGCATGGAGGAGGATCAAACAGACTTGTACATGGCTGAGCAAACCCTCCTCTCTGAGAAATCTGAAGGTGGAGAGTGGGGGCCCCCAGGGCCTGAGTGGCCAGCCCAGCACTTACGTGGTCTCACTTGCCACCATCCCTCCTCCCTTTTTAGGGACAATTGTGTGAACCAGGTATATGGAGAGTGCTGTTACAGGGTTGGGGTAGCCTGCTTGGCAGGAACAGAAAGAAAACAAGGCAAACAGTTGAATCCCAGCTGAGGGGCCTTCTGGAAGGATGTTACATGGAGAACAATGGCAGGGCCGCACATTCTCAGCCCGGCATTCTCAGCTCAGTGCTCCGGGCTAAGTCACAATGCGGGCTCAGGAACTGGGAGCCACGCAGCCGCCCCACCGCTGGGACCCAGACCCGGGTTCTCGGCCGCCAGGAAGGCCCCAAGGCCGCGCCCCCTCCCCAGGCCCCGTGCCCGCGGCGGTCCCTGCGCCCCCTCCCCAGGGCCCGCGCCCCTAGTCCTTGCGTCCCCTGCCCCCGGCCTCTGCGCCCCCAGCCCCCGCGTCCCTCCCCCAGGCCCCACGTCCTTGGCCCCTGCATCCCTTCCCCAGGCCCCGGCGCCTCCGGACCCTGAGCCCCCGGCCCCCACGCCTCTCCACGACTGCGCCGCGGGCCCAGGTTCGGCCAAGGGGGCGGGGGCTGCCCAAAGGCCCACATTTCCGGGGCCTCCGGGCCGGCCGAGCTCAGCCCCTCACCCGCGCAGGCCAGGGATCCCGACGCAGACCCCATCCCAGCCCGGCGTACCTGGATGCGCCACGCCCGAAGCCCGAAGCGGCTGCGCGGGCACGCGGCGGGGACGCGGGGACGGCCGGCGAGTGGGTCCCGCACTGCAGCGGCGCCGCCCTCCGCCCGCCCCCGCGCCGCGCCGACCCACCCCCACCCCCCACTCCCCACCGCTGCACCCGGCCTGTCCCCCTCCCCTCCCGCCTCCCCCTCCCTGCCCCCGCATCGGGCCTCCCCACCCCCCACTCGGCTGTGCTTCCTGCCCCTCAGCATCCCTCCATCTGCCCACCGACAGACCTCTCCCCACTGCACCTCTAGCTTACTCCTGTGCCCCCTCCTCCTCCCTAACCCCCACCCCAACGACCCCAAGCACCTGAAGGAAGCCACAGATTTTCATGCACAGGCAGCCAGGACTACCACCATTGCCCTCCACCACCCACTCCTCACACCTCAACCCCCGTTCCCCACCCCCCCCCCCCCCGCCCCGCCACTGAAGACCATGTGATGGCGCATCTCAGGGTGATGTCCAGGACCCCCCACTGCTCACCCCAGGCAGGTTCATCTGCATGTCTGCAGGCCCCCACTCTCCAGCTCAGGGCCAGAAGAGGTGGCCCGAGGGCCCCAGGCCACCCCAGGGAGAGGTGAGCTGATTTCCTTTTCTTAGTTAAGGGCACCAGCTTCACCCCAATGCCCCAGTGGGAAATCAGTGGGTCATGCTGAATTCTTCCCACCATCCTCCAGGGTCCATGAGGTCCCTGAGGCCTGCGGAGTCCCTGGGGTGACTTCCTAATCTGTAAGCCCAGACCTGCAGAAAGGAGGACTGTCTTCTGTCCCTGTTGCCCAACGTCATCTTTGCCCCCCTTCCAGCAGGTGGTGGCAGAAACTTCATCTCCATCAGTGGGGGGTCCCCGCCCTTTCCACAGAGTGGTCTAAGCACCAGGAGAGGGGATAGGGAGCTCAGGCCTTGAAGGGGAAGGTATCTGCTCACCTCTCCCACACTCCCCTGTCCCATACTCAGCTGTCCACAGAAGCAGGCTGACCGCAGCGGGGCCGGCCCCTGCAGCCATGCCCCTGCGGCAGAGCTGACACTGCCCAACTTCCTCCTGCCCGTGTGAAGGGAAAGGGACAGGTCACACTCGGGTAGACAATCCGGGACTCCTTTCTGCCTCCCCGGCCCCTGCCCTCAATGTGGGGGGAGGTTGTCAGCAGTGGCCAGCGCCCTTACGTGAGGATGGTAGGAATGTCCCTCACAGAGCTGGTTGTAAAACCATGGGCAGCACCATGCTGGCATTCACAGGTCACCTCCCCACTGGATAGTTACAAACCCTGGCTTTTGTAGGGTGTCTGAGCAGCCACATCCTTCCACCGAAAACATACCCCTGGTATCAGGTTACCCAATAAATCGTGCTTGTCTGAGAATGTCCCCTCCGCCCGCAGGGAAGGACCACCTATGCACATTCCCCAGCTGCGGGGGGCTTTATTTCACCCCTAGAACCTGGGCAACCAAGCCTTGCAAAGACCCGACTTCAAAGCCACATTCTTTCCTAACCACTACCCACCCCCAGACTCCTGCCTCTGCCCGCTCCAGTTTACCCACCAAGATTCAACTTGAGTGTTCCTTCTGCAGGAAGACTTCCCGGGGGCACCGCACCTCCAGACGGGGTGGGGCTCCCTGGACTTTGTAGCTCTCGTGGCAAGTGCCACACAAGAACTATGTGAGTCTGTTGGCTTGATACTGAGAGCAGCACATGGGCATGGGCACTGTTCATTGTATTCTTTATTCAGTCTGCATGGCACGGAGACAAACACAAACATTCTCTGCGATGCAGAAAGGAAGACTACTCGTCCAACCCGGGTCTCTGGAGAGGTGGCAGAGTATCGTGGTCTGAGATGGGCCTGGTAGGGGACCGCTCCGTGTGCATGGTGCCTTGGGCAGCGCGCAGAAGCCCTGAGGGGGCAGAGGGTGGAGGAGGCGGCTGACTACTGCTTACCAAGGGCTCGCTCTGGGATGACACCTGGGAGCCAGAACCTTCCTGGAAGAGACCCTCCCATCTCAAACAGGCGGATGCTACTCAAGTGCAGCTTTTACCTGAGGCAGGAGGTACAGGAAGGAGCACGCAGCAGGGGTCCAGTGACCGTGAACACCAGTGGTTATTCTCAGGGCCACAGCCGTTCCTCAGGGAGAGATCTAAGTCCCGTCCCCAGTACACACGGGCAGGGCCCCGGAGGGATGCAGAAGACGGAGCCACAGGGGAAGAGAGAGGTGAGCTACAGAGGAAGAGAAGGCGAGGGAGAGGCGGAAACCACCCCTCAAGCTCCACACCTCTGAAGAAACTGCCATCGGCGAGAAATTCCCCGGGGAGGAGGCAGCAGGAGACGTTATAAGAACAGTGCTAATTTTCAGCTTCCACAATGCTCACCAGGTAGGTCTGAGACGTAAAATCTCACACCAGTATTGCCACCATATGTCAGCGAACTCTGATCATGCACGCTCCCTGGTGTGGCCTTGGGGTGTGGCCCCCAGCAGCGGCGTCCTGATAGCATGCACGGAAGCAGACACCCCGTGGAGCCTCGGGGGAGAACCCAGTGCTGCCTCGAGTGTAGCCACCAGAGGACCCAGACTTCCAATCCGCAGACATTCGAGATCATCAGTGTGTGTTGTTTTAAGCCCCTAAGTTCGTGGTGACTGGCACGCAGCCTGTCACGGGGGGAATCCGGGAAAGAGCCCAGCCCTGTGTCTGGGTTGGTGCTGGACGAGGCGGAAACCACTGCAGGAATGCTATAGGCTGAATGCTTGTGTCACCCCAAAACTCCTGCTTAAACCCTAACCCCGTTGGAGTGCTAGGAGGGGGCTTTGGGGCGAGTCAGTCATGGGTGGGGCCCTCCGGATGGGATCAGTGCCCTCATGACTGAGACCCCAGAGCGCGCCCTCGCCTCTGCTGCGGTGTGTGGACATCACAAGAGGCCCTTCGTCTCGGACAGAGCCTCCAGAGCAAGGAGAAAGAAATGTCTGTTGTTCATAAGCCACCCAGCATGTGGTGTCCCTGTCACGGCAACCTGGATGGACTCAGACAGAGGCAGCGTGAATACTCAGAAAAGCCATATATGAGAATACATTATAGGGACAAAGGAATTAAAATATTATGAATCTGGCACAGGAACAAATAAACATTAAGGGATCAGAACAAAGAGCCCAGAAATAAACCCAAACCAGTATTTACAGGGATTCTGTATGTGATAAAGGCAGAACTGCATATCTGCGGGGATAACAATAGTTCAAGAATTAGTTTGGGGAGAATGAAGTCACCTGTGCCTCTGGACTTAAATATAAAAGCAATGGAAGAAGCGCTGGGAAATGTCTTACGATCTCGGGACACCCGAGGCCTTCCTTGTCCTACCACGACATCAAGGGGCCGTGAATGTAAAAACCAAATACTCTATAAAGATGAAAACTTTGTGCATAAAAACCCTCACACGTTCAAAATAAAACAAAACAAGAAGTGTGCTTGCCATACCTATCACAAAGGGCTGGTTTCCTTAGAGGAAGACGACACCCAGCTGCACTCAAACTAAGAACAGTGCAAATTCAAAGTCCGCGGAGGTGCCCTGTGCCTCTGGGAGGCTGGCCCAAGTCTGTGCGGATAGAGGGCGGGAAACGGGCCTCGCAAACACGGCTCCAGCAGAGCTTCTTCGGACTCCCATGCGGAGGACCTCGAGCCCAGATTCAAACATACACATCCCAGCAACTCCACGTCGCTGGGTTTATCGATAACGCGATAAAAAATCAATATTGCGGTGACTATCCTTCCTCACGGATTTTTCTGGTCGTGGGTAAATGTATCTGCCTGCCCGGGTGCACAGAAACACATGAAATAACAAAAGTGGGAGGAAAAACTAAGTATCCATCAACAAGGGCCTGATGAGACACCCAGCAGCGCATTCGGACAGTGGAGTGTCACCCAACTGTTCAAAAGGACATGGCAGCTCTGAGTCAACACTAACCTAGCTCCACCGTATGTTCCT